GCGGGGTTGGTCCCACAGCACTGAGGGGCGGCACTACGGGACCAACCCGGCAGCACCCCAGCTGCTTTGCCCCAGGCATCCGGATTCAGCCGCTCCTGAAACTGACCAGCAGCGTCAGTTTCACCAGCAGGCTGAATCCAGATGCCTGGGGCAGAGCAGCTGGGGGGCTGCCGGGTTGGTCCCGTAGCGCTGCCCCTCAGCTGTTAATCATCACTCTTATGCCCCACCTGCGCCATTTAAGCCATTAACCAGTTAAACATAAGGTTTAACCAGTTAACTGACTGAGCAGGATTTTACTTCCCTAGTATTTGCAGCAGAAGAGTGTCCCTTTTCTCCACAGCGCTTTACTGACCAAAAAGAGGACTTACACTCAACTTCATAGCATCTGCCTGTCATGTGATAATTTCTGAACCTTAAATCCAATCAATTCCAACATTTCAGGGAAGGTTCTAAGCATAAAATGGAAAGAATCCAATTTTTTTGTGAAAAGTCAGAAAACCAGAAGGCCACGTGGAACTGTGCTTGAATCAGGTTAGCAGGCCAAACAGTTTCAAGAACCTTTGCAATTGCCTATAAATCAAAGAACTGGTTGATGGCAGCCACTGACACCTCTCCACACAATTCCCCACCTTTCCCCCAGAATATTAGTTCTGACCATGATTTCAAAACAGGGCTTCAGGCAGAGGATCATCTGTATGAAGAGGACAGAGCCTCTGACTTGGACAAAGAATGGGAAACCCTGGTACTGGGAAAGGAAAATGACAGAGCACACAGAGCCTCTGACATAGTAAGGAAAGGAAAGTTGCAATACGGAGTGCCAGAAATACAATGTTTGTGAGGGACAGGCCTGAACAGAAGGAGAGTGTTCAAAACATTCCTAGATCTGAGAAAAGCCACAGTGCAAGAGAACATTCACTGAAAGTGGATTTTTTCTATCAGGTCTGGGAAGCTTAGGCGTAAAGGAAAAAGAGGATGATGTCTACATGAAGAATCAGGACACAGAAGAGAAGCAGAAACAGAACTTATAGAAAAAAAACCTCACCACTCCCCCAAATCCTGCTGCAGCAGAGGTGAGAGCAAACTACATCCAAAGTTCAGGAAGAACACTTAAATCAAGAACAATGCATAGAAGGAATCTCAAAAGTAGAGACTTCAAAAGTGCAATGTCCTGTAGAAGAAGGATCTTAGGCAATAAGAATGTTTCTGCAGGACAGCTTCCAAACTACCCTGTAACTTCCAGTGGTCAAATGAAACTAGAGACATCGCTAATGTCCTCAGATGAGGTAGCCCTAAAAGGAGAAGCTAGCAGGAATTAGCTACAATAATATGACTTTACAGAACAGACTTACCAAGATGCTGAGCAACTTCCAACACCAATCTAGTTTCACGATCTGTTACCTCCAGGGCATTGAGAATTGGAGGAAGGCCTTCATCAAACTGGACATCAACAACAGCACCAATAATTGCAACAATACGCCCTGTTGCACCTGCAGATTTTGCAGACTCTGAACTCTTGACCACATAATTTCTTCCTAACAAAGTTACCACAACCAAAATTAGAGCAATTATCCTGTTAATTGGAAACATGAGTCTCTCTTCATTTTATGCATTTTACTGAAGACAGATTTTAAGTATTAATGTTACACTTGTTAAACATTCTAGGAACACCATACAAAAAATGTAGTGTCTTTTGCAACAGAAACCTTTTAGATAGAAGTTGGACTAAGTTGGTGTTTTACTAATGGGACCTCAGGAATTAAAAAAAATTAAGTGTACTATTTTATCAGTAGATTATATAATAGCGAGGGAAACAGCAAGTACAGATTCTTAACTATATGTAAAAATCAACAGAAGCAAAATTAAAAAAAAAAAAAAAAGCTTGCATCCTTGTAGTGTACCCAACTAGTCACTTCACCCGCCTCCCTCTCCCCCGCCTCTATCAGAGAATGGCAGCAAAGGAGGGGAGGGGGATCCAGTACTGGGGGTAGCTGGCTTAAAAGCCAGTTCTCCCCAGCACCATCTCCATGGGATAGAAGGGGCAGGGGTACAGCAAGGAACTGGCAGAGTAAAGGCTGCCAGGAGCACAGGGGAACTCAGACAGTCCCCTGGCTCTGCATGAAGGATGTTAAAAAAAAAAATCTCTCTCTCTCGCTCTCTCTCGCTCTCTCTCTCGACTATCTGATAAGCAAATGCTTATTAGATAGTTGCCTAGTCTTTTACATCCTTATCCCTCACTCCCTGCTTTTGAAATGTACAAGAGTCTTCCTGGGGGTCTCTCACATTTCAAAGGTCTCTCACATTTCAAGAGTCTTCCTGGGGGTCTCTCACATTCATCCTCATCAACTAATCAAATAGTCTATGCAAATTAAATTGACTATTTGATTAATCTAACTTTAACATCCTTAGTGCAACAATCACCATCTTGTTGTGTAAGGCCCTCTGCAGCAGTGTTCAAAAGGCACATCAAGTTCTAAAACAACCCAACAGAAGGCATAAGCATGGGAGACAGGATGGTTGGGGAGGCAAGCCCACACAGCTCCACCCCTTGCAGCAGAGGCCCCTTCCCTTCTTTCCCACCAGAGCCCAGCCGCTCCACACCCACTGTGGCTTCTGCCCAAGTTCCCCACACACAGTGGTCAGTGCTGGTCCTTGCCCTCTTTCCCAGAGTAGCAAGGCCCCAGCCTCTCCTACGACCAGAATTCCAAAGAACCAGTGGGTGGCACTAGCCCCAGAGAGTTGGGGGGCATATCTGCAGCCTGTCTCAGCAGGCAACATGCACCAGTGGGCAGCATGGCCCCAATATCACCTGGCCTTGGTGCAGCCCAGGCTCCCCAGGCTGTGCCTGTCAACTGAACCAAAAGCCACCTCCCACTCCTGCAGCTGAGCCACCAGCCCCAGCACTGGCAAGACAGAGATTGCAAGACAAACCCCTGCCTTCCTGTTCCAGCCTCTGACAGGAGAGAAGCAGCTGGGGAATAGGGTTGGGGATCATGGTGGAGCATGGGCCATGCAGCTTGGGAAGACAATGCCTTCCCCTGCCTATTATACCCATGGGCATAAGGTTTCTTGCTTTCACTCTAGTGATCTGGTTCAGTATCTAGTTCTGATAATGACCTTCTAATTAACAGTTCACAAAAAGAACCAACTACTTATGCAATGTTTCCTGGAAGGAGGTGGGTGGGTGTTTGTTTTTTTTAACATCCCCTGTTAGTCATCTTGCAACTAGAAACATGAAAAACAAGCCCTGATCGACTAGCACAACATCTTGTTCCTGTTCCAAAGCCAATAGAAAGACAAAAGTGTAAAAAAATGGCTTCCAAACCACTTAACATATTTTGCCCACCTCACTGACCCTGACCTCCCCCCGCCTGAGGAAAGGCGCCGGGTGCCCAGTGCTGCTCAGGAGTCAGGACTGGGGGATTCACAGAGAGAGCAGAGAACCCAGGTCTCCAGCCTCCTGCCCAGCCCAGAGCCTTCAGCCTCGCCTGTCCCACCGCCCAGGCCCTCTCGGGCCCAACAGGGAAAGCACCAGCACAACCGCGCGGTGCACTGCGCCCCTCCGCTCTCCTCAGGAAGCGAAGGGGCGGCAAGCACCCGGGGACCGGCGAAGCGGGAGACGCCGTTGACACCGCTGGGACGGACGCAGGAGCGGGAGCCCACAGCCCAGCTATCTCCTCCCGCCAGCCCTTTCCGGGCGCAGGGCCCCATACTCACTCTGCGGAAGCGCGGCGCAAGCGGCCACCAAGCTGCCGCTGCCCGCGGCACGGGAGTGCAAAGCGCG